TGCCGCTTTTTAAACATGTTTTACAGTATTAATCTTATTTAAAATACCTTTTGGGTCACTAGTCATTCTCACCAAGAACATATCTTAGAGCCAGCTAGATCTTTTACAACTTGTCCAAAATGATCAAGCTGATTCCAAGAAGTTAGATAGTTTCTAAATCGTTTAATGTAATTTAGTTTTGCTTCCCATTCTTTATCATTTGATGTATACATACCAACAATTTTAATGGGTTTAGCGGCCAGTTGATGCCAAATAATATTTGTATTTGTTTTCCTACTTACCAAGCCAATTGCTTCTGTGTTGTCTCGATTATTAAGTAGTCTTGATGAAATATGATTTTTTTAAAAGGTTGAATAAAAGTTCGCAAAGTTTCTTGGCATTAAGCGGCCTGGTCAGGCGATCGGCAAAAACAGTTTTCCAAACGTGTTCATTGTCTACTTGAAATCCGTATATATTTAGATTAAATCGAATAGTTACTGAAAACGTTTCTACTGCTTGTACAAAAATCGCTGGCGAAAAACGGTCACTCTGTCTGACACCACAAGGTATATCCATGTTTGTAGCTATAATAGATAATTCAACAAACTTTTACGAGACATGGCACAAATCTTAATGTATGAAAATATTGATAAAGGTAATCCCATTTAAGACAATTAAATGCATTCTGACAGGTTGTGTTCATCGGTATATGACATACAAACCGAAATATTTCGGACCTGAGCAAAGACAGACTGTGTACAATGAATAATACTAGGATGGTTTTCTCCAACGGCATAGCAATACACAAATATCCAACTTGATGTCAACATTAATAAGAGAAATATGACGCCAGGTTTTAATTAGTTGCTAATCTTTACGCTTTTTATCAATTTAATAATACTTTGATGTTGTGCTGTTAGCGCACATTTGAAGTTAAAAAAAGGAAGTTACCAACTCTTGGCCAAAAATGCAGATGAAACTCAACCGGGATACCATCATTTCCATGTGTTATTCCAGCTGGCATCCAACATATAATTTTATAGGCTTCTTTAACACTATTCCGGTCTTCACACATGCTAACACTCTTGGATAACTGAGAAATATTGTCAGTAATACATTTATTGTAACAAATTGTTGGCCTATCATTGTTTGATTTTTAAAATAATATTTATTTCTTATATTATAGCGCATCACATAAAAGAATAATATGAATGCACTTGACACGAAAAAAAAATCCAGCAGGTAAATTAAATGATACATCCAAATTGTAATAATTTGTGTAACTATTTTCTGTGAATTAATACAATTTAAAAAAAAAACCCTTGTTGCAATACACTTTACGGGATAAGTTGACTTTCAAATAAGACTTGCTTGAAGATTAAGGTAAGTTAATCAAGAATACTTCTCTGGCAGAGTGTCCCACAGTCTTGAAACTACAATTGTAAATGCCTGATTTTTTTAGTGCTCCATTATGTTTATGAATTGATTGTAGATGAAGAACGAGTTGCTCTAACTAGCCCATAAATATGAACGAGGTCAGACAAATAGGCTGTTGCTTCTTCATACCAGATCTGATAATATGTCAAAGTTTGAGGTTTGACAAGTCAGTCTTATGGTCATTGATTACTTACTACTATTTTCTATTTTCAAGGCTTAAAAATTACTTTTTTTATAATTTTTGTTTGCTGGGTCAGAAATAAGAAGACCTTTCAATTCAATTAACTGTTGTTCCAACTCGTTATTATTTTATTACCGCTGTGTTGTTCTGTCTTGTTTTGCTTTTACTTGTCGTTGCCAAAAACTTTCATTCTTTTGAACACAATCTCATTTGATTGTTTCATTCCTAGGGAAGCAAACCTTTTTTTTCTTCATTTTCTAAATTGTTTTACACTATTTATGTTAAAGTACTGCACTTTGTTCTTAGCCATGCAAACTTCAGTAAAAGATATGGCACATAACAAAAATGAGCTATAAAACAAAATAATACCAATTAATTCAAAACATGACGAAAGAAGAAATACTATTGATGATATCGATGTGTCCTGGTGTTGTGTGTTCCTCATCTGGGTGAGAGGTAACTCGGTGACCATTATCGATGTTTACATTACCCATCTTAAATCTGTCAGCGGGCAATGCCTTGATTCTGTAATCCCACCAAATCGTAAATCAAATCTCTTCAGATGTATTTGCAGATTGTGTACATCCGCCAGAATTTTCCATTGCGAAAACAATTGCTTGTTGTTATGTCACAAGGCAATTCATTAACTTTGCTGATCTTGTTTCCACCTCGCTAATGTTTTCCCCATCAGGTTGTCTAATATTGTGTTGTACAGCAGCGGTCCTCCCTAATTAGGCACCTGCACACTCGAACTACGAAGCTTCTCCATAACACTAACTACAGATAGAAAACATATGGTGGACGTGCCTTTTCATATGCAGCTCCAAAACTCTGGAATGACCTCCACTTGATCTTCGTGAAGTTACTGATGTCAATATTTTTAAAAAGAGACTTAAGATCTACTTGTTCAGCAAAGCCTACAGTGTGGAATAACTCTACAAATTTGTAGTGTTCGCTTTCAGCACCTTTGAACAAAACTTAGTTTTGGATACCTGCGCTATATAAGTTTTTTAGATAGATAGATAGATAGAAGGATTATCTATATTTCATTGTCTGCCAGGAAGCGTGTCAAAACGAGTAATTACCATTAGCAAGACAATGTAATTCGATGGCTATACTGCGCTAAAGTTTATGCCATCATGTCGATCGCAGAACTATACAGTCTACGAGTGTTGATTGATTTGAGCATTCGTATTGTATAAGCATATTGCAATGTTGTTCTTTTGAAATTCATACTGTATGTTCCATTACGTCTCTCTTCGCAACTTTGGAGTGCTGCAGTAGTAATACTATTGTAATCTATTACCACTTTCCGACGTGGTGGGGTGTATGTAATAGGCACGGCTATTCCACTATCTTCGATATGGGTTGTTGATGCAGTGAATAGTATGCACTTAAAGTACATAGAATAGAATAATTGGACCCTTCTGGAATATTTGTAGGATGCCATTAAACATTGATGCTTTCATATATACGTATATATATACGACAATTATAAGTAAATGATGATAAATAACAATTATAATGTATAAGGATGTATCCACAATATTCTTCTTAACATAATCAAAATGTTTTATGTTTAAGGTATAAACGAGTTTGATTAGTACGTATCTAGTAATGACATAATTATCGTGAATTCATACATTCGACGATATGAGAACTTAATTTGTATCACTCTTTTCAAAAAACATGTATGACGTAATAAAAGCTTTGAGGCAGTTGTGTGAAGAATAATATATGAGTGGCTCGCAATCATTCACATATTGAACGAAGCAGGTAACTAGCGTCTATTACCATAAAATTACAATTTGGTATTTTCCATGTGCATGAAGGTCACAATATACTTACAGTCTCTAAATTTACTTTGTATCTAGATGTTGGGCGGAGTGATACCCAGATAATGCCTTACGCTCGGGCAGTCGGTCAGTGTATTCTCCGCAAGAACAGAAAAGAAATAGAAAAGTGTAGACATTTGTTTATCCCATGTATTATACCTGTTCCACTCGACATTGTCAATTGGAAGTATAATGCTGTAAGAAATACTATTTCGAAATTATTTCAATTGAAAAAATCAAGTCGACCACAGGCAGTTTAGCTCTCAAGCGTAATATTCATTGTTTACCCGGAACCACCGAGTGTCAAACAGTAAAATTTCACTCATCTACAACCTCAATTTATTTTCTATATTTTAAAGAGAAATATGTTTTTCTGGAATGTTCATAATCTCGAATCTTTGCATTCAAACCCATTCAGACATACGTGCATTATGTCCACTCTAACGCGCAATCTAAATTAGAAAAAACAACGATAATATTGATGAAAACTGACGAAATTTAGTCTCTGTCGTTGGTGTCGAGTTTGCTTCCCATGATTGAGTTATGCCAAGAAGATATCATCTAGATCCGGAACCAAAAGTATATAGCGCCACCAGTGACCAGTCTGAGTACGGATTTCGGGTAAGACGCCATGTGAAGGAGTACAATAGACATTTTAAAGTAGCCAGGTATAAACTATACACACTCCATCATCAATTGTTAATATGGAACCATCACTAATTTTAAATGACAGTGTGTGCACTTTAAAGCCGTAAAATTCAAAAACAAAGACAAGGAATAAAAAATTATGCAGTATTGCAACAAAAACACTACTGGAGTCACATGGTTGCTACTTACAATATAGCGCCTGGCTCGATGCGTAAGCGTGTGCGCTTTTGACCTTAGAATATCCGCTTAAATTCTACTAACAGATAATTGATTTAGTAAATTTCTTCCATGATCATCATATTTCCTTCTATTTAATGAAAAGTCACAACTCACAAGGCATTGTGCATATCCCCAGTAACATGCTCAGTGAGAAAAACTTTGAATTTAACTTTCATATAATAAATAAGTTTATTCTCCTCAGACAACGCTGGTGTTTAAGAACTCTATTGTAGATCTAGAACCAGACACCATTACCCACCCCGCAATATGATTCATTGACAAAAATTAGGTAAACGCAATGAAATTACACTATTCACAACTTTGTTTAAAAAAGGGAATTGAGAATAAAAGTTTATACAAATAAATATTATATCAATAACATATAATCGTTAATGTAAAATGTCAAAGAAAAAACCCTAAATTATTGGTACAAATCTCTTATCTCTAGCTTAAGATGATATCGGGTTTAATATATCTTCATTATGCTTCACGACTTTTTGTACATAATTTAATATTTATTAATAACTACAGCCGATATATATCAGGTGTTGCCATCATAAATAAAGATATTAGGAACATGTAAAAACCTCGGCTTGAGTTCCAATATATAATTAAATGCAGTTTATTGAATGATTAGTCACGTCATCGCACGTTATCACTGAAACTGTGGAATTAGTTTACCTCGTCTTGCATATTTCGTTTCAATATTTGATTGGTGGAACCAATAGACGTTCAGACTGCCCGACAAAGCTAGGAGCTGGTGGTATATAGCTATGACTCGAAGGCAGAGCGGAGATAAAACTGCTCCCCGAGGTAGTATGAATGGTCGACGTCGTCAGTAATGTATTCCTTGACAACATCGGCTGTTCAATGGTATGATTCGGTATTCGCGTGCCACGTCCTGAATTATGAGACGATGCTGGGTTTATTTTACGAGATTTCCTCCACAGGCGGCACAGGAGCGCATTTTTGTAGGCATTTCGGAAACTGTCGTTAAAACACGCGTAGATAACGGGATTTACCCAACTATTTGAAAAGTTGGAACAGACAGAGAAAAGAGCCACTGCCCTCAGATTGGCATGACTACGTGTATAGTCCACATAATTGACGTACAGGTAAAATGTATAGTGAGGTAGCCACATCACGAAAAACAAAATAACCACCATCGAGAGCATTTTCACAGCGTTTTTCTTTTTGTAACCCGTGCTGCTGACTGGTTGCTTCTCCAGCCACAGTTTATAGACCATTGGAGCGTATAACCCCGTGAGAACAAATAATGGTATTAAAAACAACACAAAGAAGTCAATAACACGAAATGTCTTTAGCGTATACTGCGGGAGGTGGTGGCAATATGGAATCTCAAACGTCTCATTGCCGATCTGGTATCGATATATCTGATACTCCCACGCTATCGGAACGTAGCTGGCGTAACTCATCGCACAAGACCATGCCACGACCACCATGATAGCAGCCTGTCCCCGCGTGATCTTCGGCTTCAGTGGTGTGACAATTGCCCTGAAGCGATCCGAAGCGATGGCGATGAGAGTGAAAACACTGGCTCCCGTGCTGGTGAGTTGGATAAATCCGTCGATGTTACAAATGATTGGGTTTACCATAAGACTCAGCGCTTTGTTCCACATAATTACCGACGGAATGTAATAGGCACCCACGAGAAGATCGGAGACCGCTAGTGATGCTATTAGCACATTGGAGCCAGCTTGGCGTAGCTTTGGCTCTAAAAGTACCGCCACAATAACCATGAGATTCCCAGACACAATAAGAAACATACATAAACCATACATGGTGTATATCACGCTTTCTGACACGTATCCATATGTTGGTTCGATGACATCACTATAGGACGTGGTCTCGTTAAGTAAACTTCCGTTTTGCGTGATCAGGTTATTCATTTCACTACAAATAAACACATATTAAATTAACGGTTACACCATAAAATGCTGTACTATACAAAACAGATGCATTTTAGAATTGATGATATACACACGGCTGTGAGATACAAAAAGTAATATTACTGAACACTTATTATTGTGCCCTTCTAGGTGAGAATCAAGAACTATTATGTTAATATAGCTATTTCTTTCATGTAATATCCACAAAAACAAGTTTAAAACTTGTTACCACCCAATATTCATAAGCGATGGGGTTATCTGCAAAGAAAGATTGATGCGAATTGGAAGCGTATAAGTCCTCGCTTATCGCCTATGACAAACTACTGAACTGCCGTATTTTTTACAAATAGGCCTGTGACCTCTATATCCAGTACGCGACACACTGTTTTAAAACCAATGGGCAAACCTCGTCGTGTTTGAATTTGTCCTTATGGTGCTCGTAATCACTGTAAAGCTATCGTTTGTTTGCATAGGTTATTTCATAACAATATGCAAAATATTTCTCAGCAGTTTCAAAGAGATATTTTTTTGAAACTGTATTGACGTATCTCAACGCGACAAATAAATGTTGACCAAACACAGTCACAACTAAAATCTTATTCAGCCTATTAAGTTGTTTAACTTCCCATTGTATCTCATGGCAAGCAAAAGATTGTGACGAAAACAACAGCCAACTTCGAAAAAAAAGGTTATACACGTCTTGGGCAGCAATAAATAAACACACATGAGATACACACGTGTATTTACCGTGTACAAATTAGGGCGCTATTAAATAATAATTTTGGACATTATCCCACACAAATATCTTTGGATATTTATTTTATTTAGGGGTATAACATAAGGTGCAATGCTTAGATTACTTGCCTTTTTTATTGTAATGTAGTATTGTATACATCTAGGTGCTATTGGTTTATACATCCATCACTCGGTAGATGATTGGCATATCGGCTACATATACAACTCCTGCAACATTAGATACACATGAATTTAGTCAATGATTCGATTGCTCGTCATACACTGTACACACATATCAAATCTAACCCATCATATCAAAAGCCGTTCAAACCACGACGAAAAGGTTGTAGTCGCTAATTATCTATTGTTATCTGGCTTGTTCAATACTTGCCATAACACGAAATAGATGTGAATTGTGGATTGCATTACTGGAAATTTCTAAACTTCTTGCCACGTGGCGAAATACATTTTTTTTTTCAATTTACGTGGTATTTGAAATACCACGCATTTGTACATATAATAAGACTTAAACTGGGATTGTGTATTTATTCCCAAATCACTGAATTTCTCAAATCATTAAGACTAATGTGTACCAAACAGTATAAATAGAGAAAAGAAAACAAACTTGAATAGATTAAGTTCATGTGAACAGATACTAAGTTTGTTTTCGTGAAATTTGGCGTTTTTAATAAAAAAACAATCTAGTTAACAAATCTATTTAATTGCAACTTACTATTGTAACATCAATGTAGCCGTGTTCTAGTGATAGGGAGGCAATGCTGATTCAATAAGATTTGAATGTAATAAACAATAAGTAGCAGTGCCAATGTTTCACCACACAAGAACGTATATAACACATATAAACTTAAAAACTGACTGAACAATTTGAGTTATGAAAAAGGAACTTACGTATAATGTACAAATGAAGTAGCGGATTTGGTCACGGAATATATTCAGAAGCTAAACAGTGAATCCGATTTTTATACAAAGTTAGAGCAGATATATCTATACAAATTTGAGTGGGTTTTAGTTAGGTATTTCTAATGTATGACATCAAACAATTCCCTTTTGTAAAATTCCTCAGGGGTTATCAGCCTAGAATCTAATTCGTTTTCATCAAACACTAGTCTATAATCCGGCAAATGCACGGCGTAATGAGTTTACCTTGATGTTATTTCAGACTAAGTACAGAGTCGCGTTTGCTAGTATTTTACTGTTGCAACAGCTTGATACTTTCCGGAAATAATTATGCGTCTCTGTAATCTCATACAATGGCCTACAATCAGGCACATTCTTACATTCAACATAATACATTTTTTTCAAAGTGTGGAGAGCAAAACAACTGCAACAGGCATTGTAATTTTTTTCAAAAATGATTTCATCATACCATAAGTGGAGTACTAAAACAATACTTCGAATAAATAATTGTTGTTAGTCAAATCACATGAAATAACAACGTCGCAACAAGATTTCAACAAGATTTAGATATATGATATCTTTAGATATATGTAAATCATGATGTAGGGTTTTATATCAGTGATTCACACGTTAACAGGTGGTAAATATTTCAATTACTGGCGTCAGTTTTGTTGCGAGTCAATGCATGTTTATCATGTAATTACAAAAGTGTATTAGATGAGTATGCCTGTGTTATATTTTTTCTCCAAATTTATCCACTTTATCCACTTTATCCTCTTTTAATGGCTCATATCTAGGCACGTTATGTTGTACCTGTCCCGGTATTGGGTGTCATTAAGAACTCTGTGACATACTTGACACTGAGTGCACAATAAATGATCCATCATTCGAAACTGGATCCGTGTCATTATCTCCCAACATGAAAATTGTGGAAATGGAGTCTTCCCTATGGAATAAGTTGCAATCGTGACGTACGTGAGTTGATTATTTTCTAAGCCACATGTTTCTCCAGTAATGGGTTTTTGACAGATATTTTCCATCGTATTTTTATTTGTATGGTTTAATAATAGTCGAAGTATAGACAAATTGTTCGAGGAAAATTACTCCGAAATATCGTATATTATTATACACCTGTCATCGTAAGTTACAGCGTGCGGTAATTTTGTAGTATTTTACGGTTTTTTTTCATCCTACCATTAGGAAATGCGAATTCCAAAATATGGAATGATTGCGCGCTTAATCGTTCTCTAATACTAAAAACAAACACCAGGGTTCGACCGGACTCCACACAATAAAAAAATTCTAAAGACTTCTGTATTTCGGCATTCCCATGAGGTATCTTGGGAGTAAACGATGTATAATAATGAAGTAATTACGACGATACCAACAGGTATACACTCAGACAGTACGCGGTCGCATCGACCTCCGCTGCTCGTCGGTGGATACTGTAGTGTATTCGTGCATACGTGTCGGTATCCTCGTAATAACCCTATAAAATAAATACGAATGCTGAAAAATAATACCAAAAAAAAAAAAAAAAAAAAACGTACAATTTAGAAATTGTTTTAGCGTTATAACGTGTCTTCATTCTTTTTTTTGTGAATTTTATAAGACAATAGATTCATTCGATAGTGTGAAAGAAATAATATCGGCTGAAACTCCTTAAACAACGGGAACGAGCATAACTAACGAGATGAATATATATTGATGTGATGTCAAATGCGCATCGCACCCTCGTTTATATTATTTTTAGGGGTTTAGAAAATCGGTAAATAACTCTTATCAATCAAATGCTTCTAACATCGTAGGATGTCGTAAAGATGACCTTTTGTAGAGTAATCTCAATGTGGTTATTGCACTGATTTATGTTATCATTTATCAGCATCTTTAAGGTGTATTTAGAGTGGAGACATAGGATATAAATGTAAACGAAGATGATAATCACCACAACGCACATCATCCTAAATAATCCGTAATACAAACGTGATAAACTTTGACATGACTATGTATGTACATCTAATAACAGATTCCTGGTTATTTATTTACAACACAACAATTGCAATGTATTATAATAACAACAACAGTTAGTGCATTGCGTCGTGTTTGATAGTGATCCTAATTAACAACTTTTCAGCACTTCCAAAGTAACTCATTCATGTTGTTACAAAACCACTAAAGATATTATTAAACTATTTAAATAGCGTGAATCTGAACCTGTTATATACTGTTGCGCTTGAAGTGCAATGCTATTATACAAGTGACAATACACGGTGCTACATTGGTGGAACATTTTTATTCGAATGAACCAACAAAATTGCATATTTGGAATGTTATTATTAGTTATTCATTTCATAATATACATTGCCCATATGTGAACAACATATTGAAACGATCAAAACTTCTTTTTACAAGAGTTTAAAAATCAGAGACCGAAGATACTTTCACAATTATAGATGGTATGTTTATAATCTTTCAGTACGAGAATAGACAAGATAGATCGAGATATCCTCAAGTGTACTTTTGCAGAATTGTAATATAGGTTACCCCATGAGTTAATTTGTTTTAGTATATTGAACGTTTACAATCTTCCACATTATTCGAAATGTTTGAATTTTCGTTTCATTAAACTGTATTACATCCTATGATTTTCACATTTACAGTATTTCTTCGATATTTCGATCTCGCTTGTGGCGAATGAACAAACATATTATTAAATAAAACCTGGCACGAAAAACGAGAAAGAGCTATTTATCATTTACCTCTAATTGATTTTTAAATATGTTTATTAATTATTGATTAAGGTGAAATTTGATACCTCTCACATAAAGTAATTAAATGACAAAATTAGTCTACCTGTATCGCAAACAAATCATTTCAGAAACCACCAAATGTCACATAGTTCATTTTCTGCAATAAATAATTTGAAATGATATATTGGTTATTATCTTCCTTAATCAGAATTCTGTAAATTGAGATTTTATATCCGTGAACTGTGCCCACATCATTGTGTCTACGACCAAAGTATACAAGTAGTGTATGCAATCTTACACGAAATCTAAATTAAAAGAAATTCTGACTTATATGAAATATACTAGTACTAAGTAACAAACAAATATACGCTGAGTATCATTCCAAATTAACGCGAACATCTACTTCAGTTTATCAACGATGTTGTTCGCGATGTTGAATGAGGAACACTTTGATGAATAGATAGTGCACAAGTAACTGGTTGCTCAAAAGTGCAGTGCAGCCAAAAACATATGTCAATTTGTAAAATACTTACCAAAGTGCATCAGCTGTTAGTATATTTAGTATCATATTCATATTTAACATTTGGTTTCATATTC